ACGGTGCTTCACCTGTCGCAAATGAATGGGTCACCCTCAGTTGAAAGGAACTCGCTAAGCCAGGGGCTCTAATGTTAGATCCCTGTGTGAATAAGGGAGTTTGGGTCAGGTGGCCCAGCCAGGAGGTCTGGACTTCCCCTAAGGATCCCCAGTCTGGTTTACCGTGTCCCTCCTCACTGTCCAAATAGCTAAATGGGCTTCATTAGGAATCTTTTGATATGTGAAGTGCTAAAATGAGTGCCAAAATCCCTGGAGGTTGGACGGAGTTTCTGCCCCGACTGCTACCAGCTGAAAATAACTAAAAGCCAACAATCACTCAGGGTATGTCTACACTACCCCACTAATTCGAACTAGCGGGGTAATGTAGGCATACCGCAATTGCAAATGAAGCCCGGGATTTGAATTTCCCGGGCTTCATTTGCATAAGCGGGGCGCCGCCACTTTTAAATGCCCACTGGTTCGAACCCCATGCCGCGCGGCTACACGCGGCACGAACTAGGTAGTTCGAACTAGACTTTCTAGTTCGAACTACCGTTACTCCTCATTCCACGAGGAGTAACGGTAGTTCGAACTAGGAAGCCTAGTTCGAACTACCTAGTTCGTGCCGCGTGTAGCCGCGTGGCATGGGATTCGAACCACTGGGCATTTAAAAATGGCGGCACCCCGCTTATGCAAATGAAGCCCGGGAAATTCAAATCCCGGGCTTCATTTGCAATTGTGATATGCCTACATTACCCCGCTAGTTCGAATTAGCGGGGTAGTGTAGACATACCCTCAAAGAACACACAAGAGTGGCCATACGTAGCCAGTGGCAGTACTGAGCAATTGGCTATGGGGAGTGGAATGAGTGGTTGGAAGGGCAGCCAATAGAGAGAAACTATGGCGGGTGGGGGGGTCGATCAGAGCAAGGGCTCAGATGGCAGAGCAAGGAAAATTCCATCTTCCTTGTCTGGGAGAGGAACTCTTACTGATGCACCTCTCAACCCTCGGTCCTCACTGACCAAGGAAAATCCCTGTGAGCGAGGTGAGGTGTTGGAGCAGAGAGGGGCACAGTAATACAGTAAAGGAACTTTTGGTTGGAGAACTCTAGAACAGGACTCAGAAGACTCCACACTCTGGGGTGGGTGTCCTCCTCATTGCTTTGTGAAAGAGTCCTGCTTGTGGCATTTCTCCTAATTAACATCCAGGGACTTCTCTCCTTTCATTAAAAGTTTTTCATACATCCTGGGTACGTCTAGACTACATGCTTCTGCCGACAGAGGCATGTAAAATAGGCTACCCGACATAGTCAATGAAGCAGGGATTTAAATATCCCCAGCTTCAATAAAATAAAAATGACTGCTGCTCTGTGCTGGCTCAGCTAATCGTCAGCACAGCGCACGAGTCAAGACGAGGCGCATTCGACAAGGCAAGTCTTTGTCGACCGCTCCTGTAAACCTTGTTTCACAAGGCATAAGGGAGTGGCTGACAAAGGCTTCCCTTGTCCACCGATCCACATCTTGACTCACGCACTGTGCTGACGATCAGCTGAGCTGGCACAGCGTGGTGGCCATTTTTATTTGAATGAAGCCGGGGATATTTAAATCCCCGCTTCACTGACTATGTCAAGTAGCCTATTTTACATGCCTCTGTCGGCAGAGGCATGTAGTCTAGAAATACCCTCTGACTCTGTGCTTAGGAGTTGGAGGTGGAGTCTAATTTTCCCAGGATACTGTGTGAGACCTGAGCCAGTTCCCTGTTGAATGGATGAAAAGAAACCCCAAGATATTGAACCAGGCCCTGTTGCTGCTGTCTCCTCCTGATGCAAGAGTGACAGCTGTCAAGCTCCATCTGAAAACTAGTGGTTGCTTTGCCCCGCTCCCCACTTTCTGTCAGGTGGCTGTTCTAGAACCTCTCTCTTCAGATGGTCAGAGACTTCCCTCTTTCCAGTTCTGCTTAGTTCTGACCAGTTTCTCCCCATTTGTTCTTGAGCCACCATTGCGCTCTAGATTCAGGACCTCACCTCCCTCCCTGCTGTTTCCCCCCACAGTGTATTTATAAAGGAATCTGATCTCCACCAGGCCTGGACTGTGTTAGACTAAACCAGCCAAGCTTTTCCTGTCTCCTCAAAAGCCAGACTCTCCGTTGCCCTGACCCTCTGTGGAGCCCTTCTCTGCAGCTGTTCCAGTCTGAAATCTTCTCTCTGGAATACGAGGAACCAGAATTTGACACAGTTTTCCAGAAGAAGTCTCACCAGTGCTTGTTATAAAGATATCAATACTTCTCCATCATGTCTCATGCATTGTAGGATCTCACTTCCTTGGCTCTCAGCCCCATCATGTTGGTGGCTCATGGTCATCCTGGGACTAATACACTCAGGTCTTTCTCCTCCCCTGGCACTTACAATTGACCTTAGGCTGTGTAAACAGGTGCGTAGTGCGTAGACGTAGGGAAGATTGAGAGCTGACTGGGTGACACTGTATAAGCACTTTCAGGGACAAAATACCGGCTACTAACAGGCTATTTAATCTAGCAGAAAAGATGTAATGACTGGAAAATGAATCAGATCAATTAAATTTGGAAATGGCACACCCATTTTTAAAAGCAAGGTGTTTAAACAGGGCAACAAACTCCCAATGGAGGCAATGGATTCTCCTGATAATTCCAAACCAAGACCGGATGCCTAACTGGAAAATACACTTTACATGACCACAAGTTATGTGCTAGTCAAACACAAGGCCCTGGGCTTAGTGCTGTGGGTAACTGGATGAAATTCTGCAGCCTGTGCGATAGAGGAGGTCCGACTATCTGGAGTTCTCAAACTTTTTGATCATCTCCCCCCACATTCCTTTATGCCTTTAAAAATGTTTGCAAATGTATATATATTTAGGGATAAGGCTTAAACTGAATCAGAATCAGGGTTTGTTGATTTTTTTGGTTGTTTCACTTGAGTTTTGGGGGGTTTATTAGTAATGAGCCAACAATCTATTGGGAGTAAGAGCAAAGCAAACCGTGATCCCTGCTCACAATGAAATGGGCTCGCTGCCCCATAGCAAACAGATCCAGCTTTGCTATGAATAATGCCAGGCAAGCGACTTTGTATATTGCCAGGCAAGCTTTGTATAATGCCTTTGTATAATGCCAGGCAAGCTTAACAGAAGTGCTTCCAAATGCGCAGCGCCACCCACAGTGAAACGCACAGAGCTGCAGGGCTGCCAGATTTGCTAGTTATTCATCGCAGCAAATAAAATGTGCACAAGAAAGATTTTTCCTCTAAAGCATCTCACCCCCACACCCGATTCAATTTTGCACCCTGTGGGTGGCTTCCCCTCCTCCCCCATTTGAGAACCTCTGAATTAGAGCTAACAGCTTCTTCTGGGGGAGGGATAGCTCAGCACTTTTGGCATTGGTCTGCTAAACCCAGGGTTGTGAGTTCAATTCTTCAGGGAACCATCTGGGACAAATCTGTTAGGTATGGTATTTGGGCTTGCCATGAGGGCAGGGGACTGGACTTGATAATCTCTCAAGGTCAGTGGCAGCACAAACTAGCCAGTTGCCTAGGGTGCCAAGTTAAATGGCTGTTGAGGGGTTTGGAGGCAGGTGTATGGATTGCATGTTTTGCCTAGGGCACCAGCAGCTCATCTAGGGCTGCTCCTGCAAGGTCTCTTCCAGGTCTCTGAGATAGGTATATCTAAAAAAAATAATACACAGGCTTTAAATTCTACTACATGAGAGGACTTGATATGATTCTATCATTGTCTTGAGAAGAGAATTATTTTGGGTGCAATTTGAACAGGTTGCTCCTCTGAAAGCCAATAGGCACTGAACAAGGATAGAAGGCGTCCATGAAGAATCGGGGTTGTCACAGTAAAATCGGGGTATACGGTCTCTTGACCCTCTAAACTAGGTCCCTTCCTGTCTCCCTAGCAATTGTCCTATTCTGCTTGTTGGGAACAATTAAACACTTAGCTCCAGGCTGGTCTGATGGACACCTCAGTCTCTTCCTTTAGGATGCCTGTGACCCAACCTACACAGTCACACCCCTCCTCCCCCCCGCTTCCTTAAAACAAGCAGGTTTGATCCCTGCTCAAACTACACAAAGAATGATAGGCAACAGGAGCAGCTAACGAGGGACTTTTGCAAGGGCGTTCTCTAGGTGAAGGAGGAGATGTTATGGAATAAGATGGTTGTTTTGTAGGGTGTGTGTTTGTGGTGTGCCTGTTGCTTGATGGAGAGATACCATGTGGTGTATTTATTTGTGGGGTAGGGGGTGAGCATGTGCTGAGCCTAGCAGCCTGGATAGGCCTGGCTGCGCGCATCTGAATAAGACTTTGAACCTGAAGACCTTTAGCGCCCATTTGACCTTTCACCAGGTGGCAGGGCTACTCAGGGGTGGGGGCTGCCTACCTTGATTCGAGGGCTGCTGTATTAACCATGCCTCTAACATGACTCAGTCACAGCCACATAGCTGAAGGCGAAGGGGAAGATGAGTGACCAGGCCTCTTGAATAGCCCCTGCCCAGGACTGGGGCAGTCCCATGGATCCCAGAGCACCCACAATGCTCAGGAAGGGCCAGGACTAAGACTGCATGACAGCTCTGCGGCTTGTTTCATGTCCTGGGAGTGTTTTACCAGAGAGAGGAGGGGGACAGCGCAGGTGTCCAGGGAAACAACAACCACATCGCTTCTCTGGATTGACTGTACAGAGAAGAATTCTGAGGTCAGAGCAACCACTGATACAGCTGTTTATCCCACCAGTTGCCTGGCTCTCCTCCAATACAAACACTTTGTAACTGCTGCTGCCTGGCTTGATCACCTTCCCACTCTGGCCTGTGCTACCATCCCCTCTCCCTTTCCTTCAGGCCTTAGACCCAACCAGAACCTCTCCCTTCTGAGGGAAGATCAGTAGCTCATGGTACGTTGTAGATGTAAGGTCTCCAGCAGAACTGGTGGCCCTGGCTGTGCCCCAGCTCTTTCATCTGTTATGTCACCAGCACTGGAACTGATTGATAAATGGACCAGTTACTTGACGAACAGCCTGATGATCCTTGCACGCAAGTGTTTGCTTTTCACGCAGTATACAATGGGGTTCATCAGGGGCGGGACCAACAGAGAGACGTAGCCCAGGAGAATTTGAAGCAAGGGGGAAGAGCCCTTCGCAAATCTGTGTATCAAAGACAAGGCAATCTCTGGTGAGTAGAAGAGCAGGACAGCACAGAGGTGGGAGATGCAGGTGTTCAGGGCCCGGAGGCTCTCTGTGAGGGATGCGATGCTCAGCACTGTTTTGAGAATCATCATATAGGAGAGGAAGATGAACAGTGAGTCCAGCCCCATTGTTAACAGTGTAGTTAACAAGCCATAGATGCTGTTGATGGTGATATCCGAACAAGCCAACTTCATGACCTCCTGGTGCATGCAGTAGGAATGGGAGAGGACATTGACTCGACAGTAATGGAACCGGTTCAGGAGAAAGGGGAGTGGGAATATGACAGCCACTCCTCTCACTGCACACATCAGCCCCATCTTGGCTATTCTCGGCAGAGTTAAAAAGGAAGCGTATCTCAGCGGATCACGGATCGCGACAAAGCGGTCGAAGGCCATCAGCAAGAGCACTGAGGATTCAATGCATTGAAGTGAGTGGATGAAAAACAGCTGGGCAAAACAGGCACCAAAACTGATGTCCCTAGAGTTAAATAAGTATATGCCCAGTACAGTTGGAACAGTGGCAATCGATAAGCCAAGGTCTGTGAGGGCCAACATGGAAAGGAAAAGGTACATGGGCTCATGGAGGCTTGGGTCTGTTTTTATAATGAACAGAATGACTGAGTTTCCCACTATCGAAATAACATACATGAAGCAGAAAGCAATAGAGACCCAGAGATGGACGTCTTCCTGCACTGGTATCCCGGTGAGAAGGAACACTGCAGAGTTGAATTTGGTGTCATTGATAGCTGGCATCATGCACTGGTCAAGGATGAAGAGTTTGAGCTTTTCTTCCTGAAAGGAACAAGAATAGACTAATTCATAATGACAGAGCCATCTCGTCTTTCTGCCCTCACCGCAGGGCTCCACAAACCCAAGGAAAATCAGCAAAAACATAGTTTTCGATTTACACCACAGATAGGAAGACAGGCCCTGGCAGACTGGATCAGACCTGCAGTCCATCTAACCCCATATCCAGTGGCTACATCCAGATATTCTGAAGGAAGCTGGAAGAAGTTCTGCAATAGGAAGATGGGACATAATCTACCCACAGGCAATTGGTCCCTTAACACTCACAAGTTAGACACATTTTGTGGTGTACACCAAGAAGGTTTAGAGCCCTTCCAAGAGTTTTGTAAATATCTCCTCCCTACTGCAATTGGATTTTCTGGTTACTCGTATAAACATCCAGTCCCTCTTTGAATCCTCCTAAGATCTGAGCCCCACTGATGTCTTGTGTGTGGGAGTACCACAGCCTACCTGAGCATTGTGTGACTTTACAGTTGTGACTGTCCCCAGGCACCCATTCTAGCCCTTCATTTCTGAGTGTGGCCCCTTGTAGCCCAACATGTGCGCACACACGGGGCAAGTGCATGGCGGAAATGGTCAGTGTATGTATCTGTCCTGCATGGAAGCTATTTGTAAATGTGTTTCGTTGCCTCATTATACGTACATTTGTATTATCTCCTGTGCAGTACAGGGGATAAATCCTTAGCGACAGGTTCTTAACTAAATAACACGGACTGCAATGGCATCACTCATGATCTACACATGCAGATTTGTACCAAATGCCCCCAGTCTTACACTCTGGCCGCAGGAATCCCTCCAAGAGATGACGAAGTGCTTTGCCTGGCCAGTGCTGTCTGAATCCAGAGATGTGGCTCTTCCTACAGGTTTCTCTTCATCCTCACAGGATCTGCTTCCTCTCCAAGGGTGTGTCTAGACTACAGGGTTTTGTCGACAAAAGTGGACTTTTGTTGACAAAACTATACCTACGTCCACACTGCCTTTGAGTTATGTCAACATAATGTCGACAAAACTCAGCAGTTTTGTCGAAGTATTTAAATCTCATTCTACGAGGAATAACGCCTTTTATTGACAAAGTTCTGTCGATAGAAGGCATTATTGCATCTACACTGTTCTTTGCGTCCACACTGTTATGTCGACAAAGCGGCTTGCTTTGTTGACAGAACTGGATGTAGTCTAGACGCTCTTTGTCGACAGAAGCTTTGTCAACAGTATCTGTCGACAAAACTTCTGTCGACAAAACCCTGTAGTCTAGACATACCCCAAGATATCTTGTGAGTTATAAGCTAAAGCAGACAGTTACTTCAGCTGGTTGGGGAAGGGGTGAGGAAAGCAAATGGGTGACTAGGAAAAACAGTAGATTTCTACTGATGTCCAGTTGAGGGTGCAAATTACTTCTGCCCTGAGTGAGAGGCATAAATTACATAGCACCACTATTCCATGCTTCTTTCCCATGCCTGCTGACAAACAGGCCAGCAATTCTGTTCTCTCTGGACTTTTTGGTAAGTCTTGCACAAGTATCGCAGCGGGATTGTGTTCATGAGCCTGACTCTGTTAGAAACTGCTTCTGATCCGTTAATAGGAGAGAGCATCGCACTGTTCTCTGTACAAAGAGATAGTTGCACAAACCCCATTGCACACAATGTTTGGAGAACTTCTGAAACATGTTCTAAAGCAAAACCATTCACCAGGAAAGATTCCACCACTCCTTCCTGTGCAGACACCAGCCCCTCTGCCGCTGCCTTTCCATGTCATGGGAGTTTGGTTTGCAAAATGTGCATTCCAATGAAAAGTTTGGCAATAAAACATTCACACTTGTGGTCTCAGACACACAGGTCAGTGCTGAACTGTAGGGCAGGCCCAGTCGACCTACAGCACCCAGGACCCAGTCCGAAGGAGGGAGGGTCCCAGGATTCTACTCAATGGGAAGTTCGACTTTGAGGCTCGACCTCTGGAATTCAGAGAACAGAGAGGGATACAGATGTTGGTAGCCATGCAGCTCTGAGAGGTCGCTAAAGGGAAGATGTGCTGGAGCCCTCAGCCAATCAGGAAACAGAAATAAGCTCAGTTGAACTTGTTACCACGGAGCAATGCAGCTCTGAGTTCCTGCCTGCACAATCAAGCCAGAGACTTTTTTTTTGAAAATTCAGTGGCTGATTCCATTTCCCAGGAGCAAATGAACCTGAAGCTATTTGGCAGCTCAGCCCCTGGCAGGATCTCACCCAGAACACATGGCACCTCTAAGAATGGGCCCCACAGAACAATCCTGACTTGGCGCATTGGGGTTTTGAGACACCAAGCTTGTTTTGAGTCTCTGTGTGGATTACATAATACGCTGTGCAGAATGGGCACATGTGGTAGAGGGTTTCCAACCTACCTCGTGCTGCCTGCCCTCCAGCCCATCACTGAGTCACCCCGACAGCCCAGCTGAGTCCTCTGCTGCGGCACAGAACAGCTGACAATGCAAACAGCCTGCAGCCTTCGCCCAGCACTTGGCATGTTACAGACAGTGAAACCTGCCAACGTACCCAGTTCCTGCTACAAGGGAGCCGCTGGCACCAGAGGTCTTCACCCTGAAGCACAAGGAGTCATCAGAGAGGTTGCACAGGCAGCAGGCAGTGTGTGTTCAGATAGGGAGGCAACTGCCTTTATGCAGCATGTTTGTACCTTCCCTTGGGGCCACTTGGCCATCAGGGAACCTCAGCTGCTTGGTTTCATGCGCACCAGCTTTAACTCCCATCACAGCCAATGGCAAATGGCAGGAGGCCAAATCACAGGGGTCATGTAGTAGCTTTTAATTTTATTGGAACTAAGTTTTGTAACTACTCTCTAGAAACACAGAAAGACCCCAGGCCGTGGCCACCCATACAGTCACCAGTACAAGCTCTAGTCTAGTGTATCATTTTCATTACAGTTCCGGTTAGAGTTATGATTATCCCAAGCAATTAGAAATCCCATACAGACCTGTGCACAAGCTACAAGTACAGTTATACTCACACCCCTGACGATAGTGTTAAGACTGGTGGGTCTTTCCTGGCTTGAGCATCTGGGAAGGAACAGCTCATGCTGGAGGGAGCTCAGTTTTCTCATTCTGGGCAGCCCCCTTTTATACTGTGGTTCTGTCTTCACCTGCATTCCCCGTGTGTCCCTAAAAGTGTCCATGGAATCTTAAGGGACTCCAGTTTTCCAAAGCCTGTAAGTTTCCTTTATTGCAGGGGTGGGCAATAAAAAAGCGGCAGCCCACCTGGGTGAGTCATAGAATCATAGAATCATAGAATCATAGGACTGGAAGGGACCTCGAGAGGTCATCGAGTCCAGCCCCCTGCCCTCAAGGCAGGATCAAGCTCCTGCCTTGAGTCACTAGTGGGCTGTCAGTTCTATAGTTACCTGCACCTCCGCAGGTATCGGCGATCACAGTTCTCGTTGGTCTAGCTCAACCTCGCTCCCAAGAAGACCACAGGGCCAGGAACTGTGGATCTATCCCTTCCCCCCCCCTTCCACAGAGGAGATGCCAGAGCGAGGAATCACACCACGGCTTTCCCACACCAGCATCCCAGAGGAGACACCAGGGCCCAGCGGAGATGCTGATGCAGAGCACCCAAGCCTTGTCCCCCCCACCTCCAGACCAGCGACACCTTTGCCACCACGGAAGGCCCCAGTAAGCCCACAATACCCAGCCCCCTGCCCTCAGACCTTCCTACCCAGCTCACCTACCCCTGTCCTCAGCCCTATCACATACCCAACCCTGCACCTTCCACCTGCCACCTTCTGCCCCACCCCCTGCCCTCACTCTTGTACCCTCCAACCCCTGGCCTCATCCCACCCCCACATTCCCCTGCCCTGAGGCCCTCCTCACCTCCACCACCCCCAGCCCTGAGCCCCTCACACCTAATCTCTGCCCTAACTCCTGCACCCCTCCCCTGCCCTGAGCCCCCCACTCCTCCAAGCCGCTGCCTTCCCTCCTGCACAGTGACCCCCTTCCCTTGGCCCTCCCCACACCACCCAAGCCCCTGCCCTATACTGTCATTTAAATATAGCTTATTCATTTTTCTTCTATTTTTAAAAAAGGTCTCACAGTTAAGGACCCGAGCAATGCTGGGTAATTGTGATAGTGACGTTATATATAAATGTGATTATATATAATTGATTTGGCATGGACATAGATTCAGTTGCTACCTATATATGTTGTAAATAGAATTGTAGAATGCCAGAACTGGAGGGGACCTCGAGAGTTCATTGAGTCCAGTCCCCTGCCTTCACAGTAGGACCAATCACCGTCTAGTTCATCCCTGACAGGTACTTATCTAACCTGGTCTTAAATATCTCCTATGATGGAGATTTCACAACCTCCCTTGGCAATTTATTCCAGGGTTTAACCTTCCAGACAGTTAGGGAGCTTTTCCTAATGCCCAGGGCTAGACAAAGTATTGAATCTACTAGCCCGTGGTGAGTAGATTTCAGCCGGGTGCCTCGTTCATTTGCGGCACACGCAGGTGCAATGCGGGTCTTGCGCATGCGCAGTGTGGGGCTGGCGAGCGGCTTTCGTCTCCGTTCATCAAGCCCTGCTAATGTCCAACCTAAACCTCCCTTGCTGCAATTTAAACTCATTGCTTGTTGTCGTAACCTCAGAGGTTAAGGAGAACAATTCTGCCCCACCTCCTTTCATGTAACACCCTTTTAGGTACTTCAAAGCTGCTGTCATGTCCCTTCTCGGTCTTCTCTTTTCTGAGCTAAACAAGCCCAATTCTTTCAGTCTTCCCTCATATTTTTTAGACCTTTAATCATTTTTGTTGCTCTTCTCTGAACTCTCTCCAGCTCCCTGTTCTGGGACCAATCCTATTCAACTTTATTTATAAATGATCTGGAGAAAGGGGTAAACAGTGTGGTGGCAAAATGTGCAGATGATACCAAACTGCTCAAGATAGTTAGGACCAAAGCAGATTGTGAAAAGCTTCAAAAAGATCTCACCAAAGTAAATGATTGGACAACAAAATGGCAAATGAAAATTAATATTGATAAATGTAAAGTAATGCACATTGGAAAAAATAATCCCAATTATACATACAAGATGATTGGGGACTAATTTAGCTACAACTACTCAAGAGAGAGATCTTGGAGTCATCTCTGAAAACATCCACTCAGTGTGCAGTGGCAGTCAAAAAAGCCAATAGAATGTTAGGAATCTTTAAAAAGGGAATAAGACAGAGACTATCTTTTTGCCTGTATATAAAACCGTGGTACACCCACATCTTGAATAATGCGTACACATGTGGTCGCCTCATCTCAGAAAATATATACTGGCATTGGAAAAGGTTCAGAAAAGGGGAACAAAAGTGATTAGGTGTTTGGAACAGGTCCTGTCAGGCCTGTTCCCCATTCTGACACACCGAGTGCAGAAGCTGAGGGCTCGCAAGAGAGCTTAAAAACCTGGCCTCTACAGGCACTAGTTACAAAAACCTTCCCTCCAGAATAACAATACACAGATTTGGGGGGGTTGCTGCCACCATCCAGTAATTTTTCATCTCTAAAAACCAGGGGTGAATACTTGAAACCATCCCCAGGGGTATTCCAAGCTCTTTTGCCCCGAAAGAGCTTGAAAAAAGAAGAGAGATAAACAAGCTGCAGTCTCTGGTAGCTGACCCCTCAGTCTGAGGCCTGCAGATACTCACGGACTGACAGACGTTCCAGGACACAAGAATCAAATCATCACCTTAAAAAAAGTGATTTTTATTACAAAACAAAAGATCAACTTGATAAAGCATACATGGTTGCTAAATGTTACAGAGCAACTAAGGGAAACAAATTAAAACACAGAAAGATCTCTAGGCACAATGCTAGGTGGTAATTAGGCAGGGGAGGCATAGATCTACACAGAGCAGTTCAAACCATACCACAAAATAAGGAAAAATACTCTGAACACAACTAGATTCACTTTTTCCCCCTTTTACTCACTTCCAATCTCATCTTTATTCACTCCAGCCCCATGTTCCGAATTCCTTGGAGACATGGCAGTCCTGCCTGGGTTTAAACCATTCTGTGTCTCTCAACTCCTGTTTTTTCTCTCCCTCACAAAGAAATCAGGCAAGGAATCTTTATCCAATTCAAATGTCAACTCTCTTTCTCTATTGGTTCTCCCAGGCCCTGGCCAACACTTTTGCTAGCTGCCTGTATTTAACCCCTTAGTCAATGGGTGCTGGTCAGTACTCCTCCTGTCCATTAGAGGTCCCATATACGAGCTTAAAAAGACTTGGACTTTTCAGTTAGAAAAAAGGAGAGTAAGGAGGGATATGATAGAGGTCTATAAAATCATGACTGATGTGAAAAAGGTGAATAGGGAAAAGTTATTTACTTGTTCCCATAATATAAATGGATAGTTGGATAGATGGATAGTAAGATGGATAGAAAGTTGGCTAGAAGGCCAGGCCCAGCAGGTAGTGATCAACGGCTCGATGTCAGGATGGCAGTCGGTTTCTAGCGGAGTGCCCCAAGGTTCAGTTCTAGGGCCAGTTTTGTTCAACATCTTTATTAATGACCTGGATGAGGGGATGGATTGCACCCTCAGCAAGTTTGTGGATGACACTAAGCTAGGGAGAGAGGTAGATCCATTTAAGGGCAGAGATAGCGTCCAGAGTGACTTAGACAAATTGGAGGATTGGGCCACAAGAAATCTGATGAGGTTCAACAAGGACAAGTATAGAGTCCTGCACTTGGGACGGAAGAATCCCAAGCATTGTTACAGGCTGGGGACCAACCAGCTAAGTAGCAGTTCTGCAGAAAAGGACTTGGGGGTTACAGTGGATGAGAAGCTGGATATGAGTCAACAGTGTTCCCTTGTAGCCAAGAAGGCTAATGGCATATTAGGCTGCATTAAGAGAGCATTGCCAGCAGATCCAGAGATGTCATCATTCCCCTTTATTCAGCTCTGGCGAGGCCACATCTGGAGTATTGTGTCCAGTTCTGGGCCCCCCACTACAAAAAGGATGTGGACGCATTGGAGAGGGTCCAGTGGAGGGCAACCAAAATGATTAGGGGGCTGGAGCATATGACCTATGAAGAGAGGCTGAGGGTTTTGGGTCTGTTTAGTCTGCAGAAGCGAAGAGTGAGCGGGGATTTGATAGCAGCCTTCAGCTTCCTGAAGGGAGGTTCCAAAGAGGATGGAGAAAGGCTGTTCTCAGTAGTGACAGATGACAGAACAAGGGGCATTCTGCAGAGAGGGTCCAGGATGGAGTAGCCGGTGGTGACCAATGTGTGTTGTTTCCAATGTCATGAGCACTGGAGAAAAGTGATTAATGGAATCTTCATTTGACAAACACCTTGTTTATCCTCGCACGAAGGTGTTTGCTTTTCACGCTGTACACGATTGGGTTCATCAGCGGTGGGACCAGCAGCGAGATGTAGCCCAGGAGAATCTGAAGCAAAGGGGAAGAGTCCTTACAGAATCTGTGTATCACAGTCAGTCCAAGCTCTGGTGTGTAGAAGAGCAGGACGGCACACAGGTGGGAGCCACAGGTATTCACAGCCTTGAGGCTCTTCATGCGGGACGTGATATTCAGCACTGTTTTGAGGATCATCACATAAGAGAGGAAAATGATCAGTGAATCCAACCCCATCGTTAAGATTTTAATGGTCAAGCCATAGATGTTGTTGACTGTGATGTCTGCACAAGCCAACTTCATGACATCCTGGTGCATGCAGTAGGAATGGGAGAGTACGTTGGCTCGACAGTATTGGAACCGGTTCAGGAGAACCGGGATTGGGAATAATAGGCCCATCCCTCTTAGCACACACACCAGTCCCATTTTTAATGTTCTCGGCAGGTTTAAGATGGAGGCATATCTCAGCGGGTTGCAGATCGCGATATAGCGATCAAAGGCCATCACCAAAAGCATAGAGGATTCAATACACTGAAATGAGTGGAGGAAGAACAGCTGAGCAAAACAGGCATGGAAACTGATCTCCCTAGAGTTAAACAAATATACGCCTAGGATTGTTGGTATGGTGGCTATTGATAAGCCAAGGTCTGTGAGGGTCAACATGGAAAGGAAAATGTACATGGGCTCATGGAGGTTTGGGTCTGTTTTTATAATGAACAGAATGACTGAATTGCCTACTATTGAAATAAAATACATGAAGCAGAAAGGGACAGAGATCCACTGATAGACATCTTCCTGCCCAGGTAACCCGGTGAGCAGGAACACTGCATAGGTGAAAGTGGTGTCATTGACAGCTGACATCACGTGCTCGTCGGGTCAGAGGAGTTTTGAACTTTTCTTCCTGAAAGGAACGAAAAAGATTACATTATACTTAAAGAGAGGTTTCTTTGCTCTGGACACACAGGAGCTCGAGGAAAATCAGCAAAATATGAGTCTTGGATTTACACCATAGATAGGGACGATAGGCACCGCCAGACTGGATCAGACTTGCAGTCCATCTAGCCCAATATCCAGCAGTGAGTTCCAGATGCTTTGGAGGAAAGTGGAAGAAACTTTGCAATGGGCAGGGTGACAAAAACTGCTCCCAAGGAATATTTTCCCCAGCATCCACTCTTTAGACATATTTTATGATCATTAAGAACCCATGCAAGACATTGAAATCTCTCCTCATTACCCTAACTGGATTTTCCGCTTACCCATGTAAACATCCAGATCCTCGCTTATGGTATGTCTAGACTACAACGTTTTTGCTCCGCATTTCACGTACCTTTTTTCACTTTTTTTTTTGGAAGAACTTTTTCCAAAATTTGGCCGGTCTATACGAGGCCAAATTTTGGGGAAAAAATCCTCTTTCCAAAGATTCCTTGACAGTGCATCCTAAAGAGCACATCTTCTCTTCCACAAAAAAAAGGTGGAAGAGCAAACACGTCCCTTGGACGTGGCGAAGATTTTTCGGGATACCGAAGGTATTGCAGACCGGAGGTATCCTGAAAAGCCCCACAGTCTAGATGTGCCCCTAATCCTTGGTGTCACCATGTAAGGGTCTGTAGATATCTGACAAGTTACAAGATAATGCAGACAGCGACCTTAGCTGGTTGGGAAAGGGATTGGGATCACAAATGGGTGAGCAGGACAAACACTGGATTTCCACTCCCCTTTCCTGCAGCTCAGTTCTAACCATTGGGGAAAGACCAGCAATTCCCTTCTCTCGGGCTATTTTGGAAAGTCTAACCCAGGTATTGCAGAGCGATTATGTTAATGAACCTGAAAGTAAGTGCGAGAAACAGCTTCTGATCATAAGAACAGCCATACTAGGTCAGACCAAAGGCCTAGCTAGCTCAGTATCCTCTCTACCGACAGTGGCCAATACCAGATACCCCAGAAGGAAGGAACACAACAGGTAATTCTTACGTGATCCCTCTTCTGTCGCTCACCTCCAGAGAAACAGAGGCTAGAGACACCATTCCTACCTAAGCTGTCTAATAGCCATTGATGGGCCTAACCTCCATGAATCTATCTAGCTCTTTTTTGAATCCTGTTAAAGTCCTAGTCTTCACCACATCCTCTGGCAAGGAGTTCCACAGGTCAGTTATCAGTACCATGCAACTGTTCCTGCATGCAGTTAATGACACAAACCCATTCCAAAGTGTATTTGGGGGTGTATCTGAAATACTAAGGTAAAACCCATCAAGTAGGAAAGTTACCATTGCTCCATCTGGGTGAGATACCAATATCTCTGCTGCTTGCTTTCGATACACACGCCTGTCCTCAACATTTAGCTGGTAATATTTACATTACAATGGAAAGTGTTGTCATAATTTTTCAACATCTCTAATTTTGTATGGACTTGCCAGCCCATTCTCTCCCCTCTGACTTTCTTCAGAATCTGAGTTGGTCACAGTGGCTATGTCTAGACTGCAGGCTTCTTTCGAAAGAGGCTCTTTCGAAAGCATCTTTCGAAAGAGCCTCTTTCGAAAGATCGCGTCTAGACTGCAGGCGGATCTTTCGAAAGAGAAATCCGCTTTTTCGAAAGAGAGCACCCAGTGAGTCTGGATGCTCTCTTTCGAAGACGGCCTCTTTACATTGAAGAACGCCTTCTTTCGAAAGAGGGACTTTCGAAAGAAGGCGTTCTTCCTCGTAAATTGAGGTTTACCGCCATCGAAAGAAAAGCCGCGTTCTTTCGAAATAATTTCGAAAGAACGCGGCTTGAGTCTGGACGCAGGGGAAGTTTTTTCGGGAAAAGGCTACTTTTCCCGAAAAAAACCCTGAGTCTGGACACGGCCAGTGTCTCAGCCCTCGTTCGCTTACCTATCAGTTACCCAAAAGTCTCATACAGCTCTGTCCTGGGGTCAATAGCTGATTGGTTCTCTCGGGTTCTGTTCTGTTGGCTTGTAGCCTGTATCCCGAGGGGGAACCGGCACTGAGGTCAAGATAAGAAATATTCATTCTCTGAGCTCTGCCTCTCTAGTAACCCCAGTATGTGATATGCAGGCTTGATGAGGGTTTACAGGAAGTGGGTTTCAGATTCAAATGCCTGAGTACTCATAGAAATGGAACTTCCTTTCCCGTCTGAAAGTAGTCTGTCTGTCTGTCTGTCTGTCCGTCTCTCTCTCTCTTAAAAAAAGCCATCGCTTATTAACCAGCCCACAGAGGTTGAGGGATCACGCTGGAGCTATAAGCTAGGAAAAGCCTGTATCCAGCCACTTTTCCCAGCTTGTTCTGCCAGCACTGGGGGTGTGTCTAGACTACAGGGTTTTGTCGACAAAAGTGGACTTTTGTCAACAAACCTATATCTGAGTCTACACTACCGCCGAGTTCTGTCGACATAACGTCAATAGAACTCAGTAGTTTTGTCGATGGCGGTAAACCTCATTCTATGAGGAATAACGCCTTTTTTCAACAGAGTTCTGTCGACAGAAGGCGTTATCGCATCTACGCTGTCCTTTGCATCTACACTCACATGTCGACAAAGCGGCTTGCTTTGTCGACAGAACTGGATGTAGTCTAGATGCTCTTTGTTGACAGAAGCTTTGTCGAAAGTATCTGTTGACAAAGCCTCTGTTGACAAAAGCCTGTCATCTAGACGTACCCTAGGAGTCTGCCCAGAGGGGGGGCAGCTGTTGCTGAGAAGCTCTTCACACTGATGGGCACATACATGGCTGGGGACGTCTGAAGGCCCTGGGCCTGCCTGGGTCCTGTCAGAGTGGGAGGCTGAAAATTATTTTATGAGCAGGACAGAACAAAAAGACACTCAGCCAAACTTTTCTAAGGCTATGTTCTGGTGTAATATAAAGAGAGGACAAAAGTGAACAGTATTCAAAGCTGTTATTTGTACATCACAACAGTGATGTTACTGCGTTACGTTAACCTACTCACAAGACCCAGTCTCATCCTCCAAGTTCTCCAGTCTACGACAAGGCAGTGGGACAGGGGGACATGCCCAGTGACCACTTGCCTGGCTGGGAGCAGAGGCCGTCACCAATGCCTGCGTTGCTGTGCCTTAATGGGGTGAAGTTTGTGGGAAGCTGCTACACCTGGTCTGCTGTACCCCTAAGGTACCCGGCAGGGGTGTGCTGTGCACGCACACACACACACACCCAAGAGGTGCCCACAAAAAGCTCAGAAAGGGAGGTGGGGCAGCTCCCGGCATCCAGCAGCAGATCAGAGCTTCCCCATGCTCCCCTCAAGAGATTTCCCTTCTCCACCCCTTCCCCGGGCATTCTATCCTCCCTGGAACGCCTCAGCTCCAGGGCAAAGCTCTGAGAATTTTTACAATGTCTAAATATTTGTACACTCAGGAGGGTGGGATCCTACCCCAGGAGAAGGGAGGGTCCGAGGCCCGACATCTGGGACTCACAGCACAGAGAGTGGGCAAAGAGATGCAGCTATGGTGACTCTGAGGGGTCTCTGCGGGGCAGGGATGCTAGAGCTCTCAGCTAGTCAGGACACAGACATGTGCCCTCTTAGGCCTGTTACCACAGGGGAACACGGCTCTGAACTCCTGCCCTCACCACTGAGCTGGAGAATAACATTTCTGAAAACGCTGTGGCTGATTAAATTTCCAGGAGCAAATAAACCCAAAGCAATTTGGGAACTCAGCTCCTGGCAGGGTCTCGCCCAGAGCACCCAGAAATGGGACCTACTGGAAATCCTGACTTGGGTGTCAGGGGTTTAACACTCCGGGCTCCTTCTGAATCTCTGTTTAGCTTAAATACCCCAACATGGAGCATGGACAGATGTTGGGGAGGGTTCCCAAGCTGCCTAGCACTGCCTTCCCTTCAGCCCCCTCACTGCGTCACCCCGACAGCCCCACTGAGTTCTCTGCCGCTGCACAGAACAGCTGCCAATACAAACAGCCTGCAGCCTTCGCCCTGCACTTGGCATGTTACAGACAGTGAAACCTGCCAACATACCCAGTTCCTGCTAGAACGGAGCCGCTGGCACCAGAGGTCTTCACCCTGAAGCACAAGGAGTCACTGGAGAGGTTGCATGGGCAGCAGGCAGTGTGTGTTCAGACAGAGAAGGCAACTGCCTTTATGCAGCATGTTTGTACCTTCCCTTGGGGGAACCTCAGCTGCTTGGTTTTGTGGGCACCAGCTTTAACCCCATCACAGCCAATGGCAAACGGCAGGAGGCCAAATCCCAGGGGATGGGGGATGATGCTAAACAACTGGCCAGCAGCACCAGCTGTTCTATAAGCCGTGTTCGTGGAATCTGGACTGTTTGTATCATTCTGATTGGTCACATGGCTCCCTGGGGGGTGGATGTGTCACAGCGATGCTGCTGTCCGACCCAGGACCCAGGGATCCCCAAAGTTACAGTAATCAGAGATGTGCTAGCAGGGCCTGTCACAGTAGCCTCTGCCTTCAGGATCTGCCAAAGGGGCGCAGTGCAGAGTACAGGGGGCTGTACAGAGACAGGGAGCCTGCTTAAAGCAGCTGACAGGCCAGTTCCCCAGCCATTACCTGGTTGGAAGGTTTCGATATCTGCATACTCAGAGTGCAGTGACAGACTCGGTCAGGGCCACCTTCACTGAGTGGTATCCCGGGAAGCTGAGCCTAAACTACATTTTTCTTGGAGCTGATGAGTTTCAGTGTCTGTTCTGCTCTTTGGGGAGGGGCAGTGATCTCAGCTTGAGGTCTTGGCTGGAACCGGACCAGGTGAGCAAGGCAGGATGGTGAGAAGCCCCAGGGAGCAAGGAGGTGCATGTCTGTGGCTTTGTCTGCATCCCAGGAAACACCCCAAAGGGGGTCTTTTGTGACCGTCCTGCCCTCACAGGGCTAGGAGCTTATAAAAATCAA